TGAGCCCCTATCACGACCTCGGCCTCGGTCCATGAGAGCCCCTCCTCCTGGAGAGCATAGTGGGAGGAGGTCACCCAGACCCACACATATCATCAGATCTACTGGATCTTGTATGTGAAGTTGCTGATGTGCATTTTTACAGGAAGGGTGGGTACGAGTAACACTCGAATCAGAGTGCCCAGGTTCAACTTCAAGCGCTACTGTTTACCAGCTCCGTGGCATCCGTTCCCTGACATGTCAAATGGAAATCAAAATAGTACACCCCAAGGAATTCCCCGGCAGTCCAGTGGTTAGGACTCAGCGCTCTCACTGCCAGGGGCCCGGGTTCCATCCCTGGTTGCTGGACTAAGGTCCCGCAAGCCACGTGGTGCAGCCAAAGATATCCCAACCCCCCCCAAAAAACCAGAAGAGTACACCCCATGGAGTCGTAAGAAATAGATTACATTTGTGGAAATCACGGCAAGTGCCTGTCACATTCTCAGTGCTTCATAAATGTTACCCGTTATTGCTGGAGTTTGATCCAGTTTTCAAAGGGGCCTGTCACCCCACCTAACCCCTTCCCATCAAAATTCAGAACTCTCACCAGAGAGAGACTGCAAGATGATGCCACACGGAAGAACAGGAGAAAACGGTTGGAAAGCCTGGGAGGTGTGGGGTGAGGGAAGATTGGAAGAAGTCCTGTAAGTGGGGAGAGATAGAGAAAGAGGCAGCTGGAAAGGAGACCCTAGGAAGAGAGATGGGCCAGCTGGTGGCAAGGAAGGGCAGGAGACTGAAGGTCTGGGCGCAAGTTAGCTCCGGGGTGGAGCGGCTGGAGACTGCGGGGTTGGGGGGAGGAAGCTTCCTGATTCACCTGTGGTCTCAGATGCTCCGTGAAGTCCGAAATTCTCTATCCCTCAGAGGAGAGCCAAATACAGGTGCTGGGAATGGAATGAATAATGAAAATTAGAGCCTAAGAGCCACGTGCAAAGCTTGAGCTTTACTGTTTGTCCTACCGTTTGCCCCACCATCTCTTTGACCTTGGAGTCTACCTACCTCAAGAGGCATGTGTATCATTTCTGTGGGTCCTGTCGGAGTTTCCAGGTCTAGCCACGGCAGCTGGAGACAACATGGCCAAAGGAGGCATTGGGAACAGCCTGTCAAAGGTCTGCCCCGCCAGCTAGTACTGCTTTCTTGGTTGCAAATATGCAAGGAGCAGATGTGGCCCCATGGAATTAGAGGCGAGAGCGCTGGCATGCTACCCTCGGGCCGCTCGGTCCTCCAACCTCCCCCGACAGTCAAACAAGTGGCCCTCATTTATAAAAGCACAACACACACTGGATTTTAATGAGAAAATAATTGTATACTTGCATTGAATGCCTCACAATCACTATAAAACCGAAGCAGGATAATAACATTGAAGTGGTTAACATACACAGGAGAGCCAGATACAGAGTATCATTTTCAAACACAGTATTGCTGCTTTGTGCCCCCTCCTCCAAAAAAGGAAAAAAAAGTCATTTGGGTAAAGAGGAACACAAAATCAAAATTGGCAGCTCACTCACTGAATGCTTAAAATTCAGGAAATTGGTTCTGTTACTACAACTGGATATAGTCACCATCTCTAAACACTTAGGCTATTTTGTTTTCAATACATAGTTTAATTACATCCATTCTTTAGTTGGAAAAATGTTTAATTATTTGTCTTCTGAGACGAGTCAACACTGTCTTAGTGTTCCTTGTTATGCCTTGTGTGTGTGTGTGTGTGTGTGTGTGTGTGTGTGTTGTGTATATATGTGGGCACTGATCTATATACTGCTTATATGTCACTGTCTAGGGTGGGCAGCATGCATGGGTGTAAAGAGGCAAGGAAACTGCATGTGTCATGCACGTAGGACACAGCCCAGCCTCCTGCCACTGACAGACCCTGTTTCCATAATTTCTGGATGAGAAAGCCAAGGAATGTCAGTAATCAGTTCCAGAGGAAAGTGAACATCTATCAACACTGCGGAATGGAATACTTTCAGGAAAGCTTTTAACATCTACAGAATCTAAACATCTGTTCTAGCTGAGATTAACTCAATTGTGTGCTATCTGGGGGCAGGGATGAGCATCAGAGGCGTTTTTGGACAAGCCTCCTCTTCTCGATGGATTAGGCACGGATGACTTTCCGCCAGGGGTCTGCTGCATCTTCACAAAGTTAAAGGGGTTCATTTGGGATCCCAGAGCCTAGCACAGTGCTATGTACAAAGCCATGGCCCAATGTTTCTTAAATGAGTAAAAAACTCAAGAGCACAGAGAAAATCTGGCTCTGCTAAGGGAACTTTAATTTACATTTTAACAGGATGATACGTGAGTGGAACAAGGAAATGGACAGCAGTCATCAGAAGGCAGCAGAAGGGAACAAGCAAATGATGGAGATGTAGGGGCCACAGTTAAACCGTTTTGTGACTGTGACAGAGTCACGGAAACGCTGCATTTGTTGCCTATCCAAAGTGCGAACCAAAGGATCCTGGCTCTATAACTCTACATAATAAGTGTGTCTGGGTCAATCAACTGCAGTCAAACACCAACTTATCTGCCTCTAAAGCGATTCCAGGAGTTGTGTGGCCTCCTAAGCTTTCTTTTCAGCTGCCCATTCTCTTCTCAAATGTAGTTTTAAGGTGGGTACACAGTTTCCTTCAAAACAGAACCAGAAACTTCAGGGAAGTCCTGAGCACTGTTCCCTCTTGCGAAAGATGGGGGGTTCATCTGTATCAAGTCTATGGTCACTACCAGATCCAGAGTTAGTCCAGAAATCATGAAGCATATTTTACTTTTTGTGCAACCCACAGAACCATTCTGTTCTCCAGGCATCCTAGCAGCTCCTGCATCCCTGGGCCACACGATGCTGCTGCCCCATCTGTTTTCATTCCCGTGCCTGTCTTGGGAACGCTGGAAATCCTCAGACAAAGCATCCTTCTTTCCTGGGTGCCCCCATTTCACCTGTCAGGACTTCTCATCTCATTTTCCTGGGAATGTCTGTCTCCACACCAGCCTCTCCCACCTGAAAATAAATTCCTAACGGCAGGGATCTTATTTGTTTCATATCCCCAGCGTCTAGCACATTTTGTTGACTATTCGTTCAGAATGTTCAGGAGCATGAACCATATAAAGATGGTGCCAATTATCCATCTGTAGAATTTGGCTTCAAATTGCAAGTTCCCTTGGCAGTTTCAAAGGATCCTTGTAAGTTATCAGAGAGTTCCATTTTTCACTTTGTGTCCACCACTTGTTTATGAATAAACTTTCCCCTAATGTTGACACTAGTCTAATAAAAGAAGCAAAGATAATGTGCATGAATCTACATACAAATTTGGTGGAACGGCTACTTATCAGGACAACACATTAGCGCTTATGACATAAAGACATAAAAACAAAAATGAATTTTAGTGAGGTCTGACTTACTTATTGCTTTTTTTAAAACCACAGTTTTAAAACAAAGGGGACGGAAAAAAAGAAGGCTGGTCAGTTTCTTTCTCATGGCCAGAACTGAAAAATTTCTCATCCAGAAATTGAGGGCATTCAATGATTGAATACCCTTATCATATTGCTTTAAATGACAGAAAGAGTAAAGCTGGCGTCCTTTAGCGTATACTAAGCATGAATACAAAGCATGAGACTAAATATGGTACTTTCCTAAATGTCAAATTGCAAAACTGCTCAAAACTTTGCCATTGTGACTCATGCAAATACCATGTTAGGTCAATTTAATATTACAAATACTGCATCAGCTCGGAGCCTCTATATCCTTTTCATAAAAAAGAAATTCTCACTCACTCCTGACGCTGGCAAACAGCTTTGGAGGAAATAAGTGAACACCCCTGTCCCATGATCATTCTGGAATTTTAATCCTCACACACACACATATACCCTTACTCATGAGCACACATGCGCTTTGCACACATACACAAAGGCATGTGTACACACACACACACACACACACACACACACGCACACCACCTTTAGGATTTGTAGCTGAACCTAAGCCTGCGCTTAAGTTTCTATTCTATATTTTTCTCTGTATCATCCTGAAAAATACTGGTTGCTCAGAAAAAATAGTATCTCTAACTTCCTTACTTTCCCACTCTTTCCCCCTCCCTTCTTCTTTACCTTTCGTGAGCTTTCTTTACTGTTTCCTTCTGATTGATCCAAAGTATCATTCTTCCTACTCCCCTGAAGGTCCACTTTACATATAAAATATAGTTATAAACACCTCTTTATTTCTCATCATCTACCTCTCTAAGACAGAGTTCACCCTTTTTTCCCTTCTGATTTCCAAAGTATCATTCTTCCTACTCCCCTGAAGGTCCACTTTACATATAAAATATAGTTATAAACACCTCTTTATTTCTCATCATCTACCTCTCTAAGACAGAGTTCACCCTTTTTTCAATTATTACCACTCTAAAAATACCCCTCCCCTCTTGAACCAAGCTGTTCAATGTGTATAGTTTTTATACATGGATATATTCCCCCATCCCATCATAAAAATAGTTGTTGCCCACTAAATATAGTTTTCATATAAAGAAACAGAATTGTGAAAATGTGTTCTCATAAACTGCAGCTCAGTCAATATCATAAGCAGACAAGATCCTAAAGCTAAAATAATCCATTTGGTTTGGCTTTCTCCCCTCTTCCTAAACCTCCTAATGCAGAACAGGTTGTGTTTTGCAACATGAAGATATCTTGTCTTCAAAATATGGATTGTGATCCTTAATTGCTCCCAATTCAAGACAATTAAACGGAATAGACATGGAACCATAGTTGCCTCTTCTGGGCAAACAGAGAGAGAAGCATTATTTTATAGCTGCTGGAGTAAATGGGGTTAGTCCAACACCTCTGATGCTATGATGGGTGGAAACCGGTGCAGGCACAGGGAAATATCCTCTGCTGGGCGGATGGCACCAGCTCTGTGGCTTCTCCAAATGGCCACATTACTATTGTTTTCCTCATCACCCAGAGAGGCCAGTCTTCGTTCTGCCTGTAGCAACCATGTCAATTTGCTTGTAACTTCTTTGTCCTTTTGGATCAACTGTGGTCCAAACCCAGGGGCTTCTTTGAGTTACAAAAAAAAAATCCTTTCTCCTCTGACTCCCGGGAGTTCGTGTTTGATGGGTGGACTTCTTTTTTCACGTGATTTTTCATCATTGTACATTGCAACTTCTCCTGGTCTGCATAAGGATTGCCGAGTTTGTTTGCACTTTAATAAATATTCTATTAAAATGCTTTGATGTGTTGATTTCTTGGTTTCTTGGGAACCCAAGCACCAAAGAAGCTTCCTGGGTGGAAGGATGTTGATTATTCATTGTCCTCTTCCTCTTGGTTGGCATAGATCCCCGCCTCCCAGCGCAAGGCCAATGCGCTCTTTCTTCGATTAACCCGTGTGGCCTCAAGGACCTGAAGAGAGAGGGAAAAAAATTACGCAGAGTTCATGATTGTTCATTATGAACACAAACCAATTTCTCTGTTTCCTTCCTCCTTTCCCTCTCTCAACAGCATCTAATGAGGGGGAAAGTGGTAAAGCGTCTGGTACGGCTGGGAGGTAGGAAAGATATGAAAGTAAAGGTGGAGTTGGGGGGGAGGTTCTGGGTAGCATTCACCTCAGAGCCAAAGTTCACTTGCTATTTGACCCATCGTTTTCAGTATAGAGAGATTTAATTTTCCTGAAATGTTCTGCAAGTTTCGTTGAACTAGACCTGACTCTGCATCAAGTTTTTAGATAATGAAGTGGATCGCTACATGCTATAGATCAGTGCAGTCTGATGGCAGTGATCTGTATCTGTGCTATCCAATACGGCAGCCACAAGCCACACATGGCTACTGAGCATTTGAAATATGGCTAGTGTGGCTGAGAAACTAAATATCTGATTTTAATTAATTTTAATTTCAATAGCCTCATGGAAATAGTGACTACCATACTGGACAGCACAGCTATGAACAGTCTTGGTGTATTCATAAACAAGCAGACGGGAAAGTAACTCCAAACAACTGAACCAGCGTGAATTCATTCCACCAAGCTTTGTGGACCTACATAAGCTGTGATCATATTTATACCACAAAAAGCTACTTTGTATAATTACGCTTGAAAGAGGAATTAAGTGAAAAGAAAAAGAGCTTCTCAGGCCACTAAAAAATGGAATCTGAGCATCTTGATGTAACTTCAGGACCACAGGTGCTGGTAAAGGAAGTGAAAGGTGACAACACCAAGGACAAATAGGCTCACCACCATCGGGGTGAGGCCACCCTCCCTCCGGCTCCCCAGAAGAGTCTGTGGACCCCAGGGGGGATCCTTCACCAGTCTGCTCCAGCTTGAGTTTGGTCCCGATGACATCCAGATGAATGACATTTAGGTTGCCAACACAGGAGAAACGGCTCAATTTCATGATACTGCACCGAAAGCAAGCCCCTGCATGCCGACCAGTTAAATGACTGTGGCATTAGCTTAGGATGTGCAGTTTCTGAATTTAAAGTCTAGCAGAGCCAACACCAGTTGGTTATCCAACCAATAGGCGATGAAGTCTTTGCTTATTCTGAGAACAATCATTCTGGCAAGGGACAGAGATGCTGGCAACTCCAGAGAAGCAAGGAGAGGCAGGTTTACCGGCAGCGATGGGAGCCCAGACATAAGCAAATTCTGGTCAGATTAAAGGTCTGGGCAGGGAGCGGGCATCTCAACTTGCTTCTCTGCACCTCTGACAAATGCATGGACTTTCCAGAGCAGCAGTGTCTTTCTTCCAGGAAGGCTTCCCCAGTCCTCCTAGCAGGGACGGCTTTGACCGGATGTATAGGACACAACTCAATCATGTCTCCTGAGGGAATGTTCACCAGGAAGCACGTAAGCCATGCCCTAAGGTGTTGGTGTGTAAACATATCATGGTCACCTAGTCAACATCTAAGAATAAGAAATCAGTAGGAGGAAAGCATGTTTCCAAGTCTGGTAGAGTTAAACAGTAGAATCTTCTGGTCAAGACCTGGTAACATGGTACTGGAAGGCAGTGAGGAACTGGAATTGCAAGTCCTGAGCTTTGTTTCCAGCTCTGTGCCTGGAACATATGCTGTCGTTCATGGCATCTTGAGTCTCAACTTCCTTTATCTGTAAAACGGACACAACACCTGCCCTATTTCACAGGCTCTCTCAGGAAGCAATGCAGCCTCTGAAGTCCAGGCAGGTCTAAATTTAAATCCTAGTAACTATGTGACCTTGGGAAAGTTTATTACCCTGTGCCTCAGTTTCCTTGTATGTAAAAAGGGAATAACAAAAACTATAGTACCGAGGTGGTCTGAGGAATAAATGAGGCAAATAAATGAGGTAAAGAATTTACCAAAGTTTCCAGGGCATAACAAATTCTTAAACAATAACTACGTATTTCTCTCATCATGTGAAAGGGCTTTATAAGCAATCAAGTGGTATTCAAACGTAAGACGTTTTGACAAGGAGCTCTACATTGTGTAAAACAGTCATATGTCTGCCTTGCAGACTGTACATACGAACTGAAAGGTTTACATAAGAGCTAAAAATAAATCTAAGGTTCTGAAAAAAATAGTCCCCATCAATTTCAGATGTCCCTTGTCTTGTATTTGGGCCCTATTTTAATTCTCAATCATCTTGAAAAAATTTAATTTACTCTGTTCTTTGGGAACCCATTTCAATCCATCTGTCCATCCATCTTATAGCTATTTATTGGGTTCCTACCAAGTGTCGGGCACAGGGCTTCATGTTCAGGATAGAACAGTCTCTTCCCTCCTCCAACAGACCTTTTGAAGATTCAAAAAGCCAAGCCCTGGGCTTCCCTGGTGGCGCAGTGGTTGAGAGTCCGCCTGCAGATGCAGGGGACACGGGTTCGTGCCCCGGTCCGGGAAGATCCCACATGCCGTGGAACGGCTGGGCCCGTGAGCCATGGCCGCTGAGCCTGGGCATCCGGAGCCTGCACATCCAGAGCCTGCACATCCGGAGCCTGTGCTCCGCAATGGGAGAGGTCACAGCAGTGAGAGGCCCGCTTACAGCAAAAAAAAAAAAAAAAATTTAGGAATAAACCTATCTAAGGAGGCAAAAGACCTGTACTCCAAAAACAGGGCCCAAAAACCACAAAAAAAAAAAAAAAAAAAAAAAAAAGGCAAGCCCTTGGGAAGGTATGTGAATGAGCATTTATTCCACAATTAATTCAGAGTACTGTGTGTGTGAATGAGTGTGTGTGAATAAAGCTCTAGCAAATCTAGAACTTTTGTTCTAGATTTCTACATATTAACTTTATTTCCTAAAGTCCATTCCTTTCCTTTCTGGGTTAAAAAAAGCACTTGCCTCTGGGGCTCTGGTAATAGTAAACACTTACATCACAGGTGTCATGAACCAGCTACGGGTTTTAATCCTCGCCTCTGTTCTATGGGATTCATACTATGAATTTCACATATGAAGAAGCTGAAGCACAGAGAGGTTTAAAATAATCTAACCTCAGTTAGTAGGAGGAAGAGCTAACACTTGAACCCAGAACTCTGGGCGCAGAGTCGATGCTCTGGGCCAGCATGTTCCACGGCTGCTCAGTGGCTGGGGGGAGGGTGGAGGAAGAAGCATTAGAAAGGGCGATAAATACTCTCCACAGGAATGGAGAGAGAAAAACATTAAAAAAAATAATAATACAAAGACCTGATTTAAGGTTTCACCGTTTTCACAAATGAAATCAGATTTAGGTCTGGTGGGAGAAAAAGAAAATCAATTCTCTTTGAACAACCCTCTAGTATTAATTTTTCTCTCCAGTGCTTAGGGAATTCAAGTGAATCAGTTCAGTTTGAGCAGCAATCAACCTAGATAATTTTATTCTGGGATATAAAACAAAAGACAGATACGTTAAATAACATTTATATTAATATTTTATCCCTCATATCTTCCACTGAAGGCAGACAGGGCCCAGTCTTATCTTCCTTGGATGTATTTGACCAGATTTTCATCAATCTTATGTTGCTCCCAAGGGGATGTGGGCTGAGGGTCTAATTCTTAAACCAGCATTTCCTCACTGAGACCCACAATTGGACACTGAAGAATGTCCATGTAATGATATTTTCAATATTCATTTTACAGTTTGTGGAAAAAACCTGATAAGCATCAGCTCACGTCTACAGTTAACCATAATTATTTTGCTAAATATGGAGATGTAAAATATATATTGTGCTATAGGTTAGCACAGCCAGTCTGAAGAGTAGTTTGCAATAGGTAGTGAATGTGAGGATGTGTAAGCCCTATAACCAGTACTTTTACCCCTAGATATATTTAGAGACTTTCTTCCATCGGTCACACAAAGAGCTGTGTAAAATAACATTCATTGACTCATTGTTTGTAATGGCAAAGAAAAGGTACAACCTACATTTCCATCACTAGAAGAATGAATAAACAGATATGTATTCATTCAATGGAATACTATATACAGCAATTATAATGAGTGAACTAGAGCCATAAGTATCAACATGGACACATCTAAAAATGATGCAGACAGAATAAAGAGTACAGGATACTACAATATGATATATTTATAGAAAGTTCTAAAACATGCAAAACCATTAGATATAATTTATGTACATAGACATACGTAGTACAAGGATAAAAACATGCATGGAAACAATCAACACCAAACTCCAGAAAAATTCCCTCTCAAGAGGGAAAGAAATGGGAGCTGGGAGAAGTAATAAGAGGGCTTGAATGGTATTTGCAATATTAATTTCTTTTTAAAATATTAAGCAAATATTATGAAATGATAAGAATGCACAAAGCTGGCTAGGGGGCTTTATTATTTTACTTTGCCATATCCTTGACACATTGGCATGCCAGCTCCATGGCATCAGGGACATTGTTCAGGTGACTGCTGTCTTCTCAGAACCCAGAAAGTGCCTGATGTGTAGTAGGATCTCGATAAATTGTCAACCAGGTGAATGAATAAATGATTCTCTACAATTCTGTATATTTACAATAATTCTTTTAAAATAAAAATAATACAGTGCTCTAGAAAAAATACATAAAAGCCAGTATGCTTTCTCATAGCATATAAATAAGTCAATATATATGTGGAAAAAAAAAAAAATATTGTGCTTTTTCATAGCACAGGTTTGTGAAATCTGTGTAAAGGGAAGTTGTAGGGGAAAGGAGGCAGCTTGGGGGAAATTCAATGCTTAAAGAAGCTTCCAAACCAAAAATACAGGTTTAAAGATGGAGGGGGGGCGGGAACTGCGTTGGTTCACAGTAGGAATAAGTTATCCGAAAGTGATGGCATGGAGCTCTCTGGGTTTGTGTTAAGGTAAACAAAGGACTGATCCCAACCGACAGCCCAGTCCTCTTGAGCTGCACGGTTTTCTAACCAGACCAGAGTAGATCTGCTATCAGCGCCTGAAGAAACAAAGAAACAAAAATCCAA